ACACACACACACACACACACACACCTGAAAACCACCTGAGAGAGAATCTTTAATTCATGGAACGCAAATTTTATTTAGAGCAGCTCTCCCCACTAGGTGACTTTAATAATAGGATTCATACCATTAGGAATGTTGCAGAGGCAGGATCTTCATGGGAACTGAAATAACATTGTTTTTAGGTTAAGTGATGAGCTCAAAGAAAGCTCAGTTTAACAAGTTTGAGAATGAGCAGGTAGAAGAGACCTAGAGCGGTGTTCAAATTTCAAGGGGAGCAGGGTGCTCTGGAGGCCTGTGCTTGTAAAACTTGTTCAGCTGTTCTCTCTGAGGTCTCCCTTTCATGTGAGAATGGGTTTTGCTGCACAAATGAATTTCAAGAGCATTGCTTTTGTTGTTTTTGTTTTTTTTTTAAATAGAAAATTTCAATTCTAGTCTTTAAAAGGCTTGGTATTCACTTTTCCCTCTGGGTGGAATCATGGACTATGAAACAGGAAATAGCAGAGCAAAGCCAGCCAAGACCAGGACACTTGGAGGGTGCACCATTTGCTGGGCACAGAGATGGAGGCCTTGGAGAAAATGGGGAGGACAGGGGCAAATTGCGTTGGGAAGAAATTTCCCATGTCTAATTTTTTTTTTTGGTTTTAATTTCCTAGTTTTAAGATAAAGTACTAGCATTAATGAGATTTTATATTTGTATAATGATAAGATTTGCAAACTAAAAAATTTTTACATTTATTCATTTTGTGTGTATGTGTGTGCATATACTTGCATGTGCCTCAGCAGACACGTGGAAGTCAGAGCACGACTTTTGGCAGTCCATTCTGTCCTCTCACCATGTGGGTTCTGGGGGCTGAACTCAGATTGTCACTTGGTGGCAAGTGCCTTTACTCACTGAGCAATCTTGCTGGCCCAGGTTTATAGTTTAAATTTTTTAAAAATTTTATGTATATGAGTGTTTTTCCTGCATGTATGTAAGTGCACTGTGTGTGCAGTATCCACAGAGGTCAGAAGAGGGTGTTGGATACCCTGGAACTGGAGTTATGCATGACTGTTAGCCACTATGTGAATGTTGGAAACCAAACACAGGTCCTCTGCAAGAGCTGCCGGTGCTCTTAACCTGAGTCATCTCTCCAGCCCCTATAGTTTTTTCATACTTCATAATGATGGGAAAAAAAATCTCACAAATATTTTATCAGGGGAGAGGCTCAGAACTCAATATTATTCTTAAAAGGATTAATATTAATATGGTCAAACGATCCTTCATGCTTCCATTTTAGCTCTGTACTATCTAGGGAGTCATCAAAAGATGGACTTTTAAAAAGAGTATTAGGAGAATCAACAACTGAATGCATCACCTGGTAGAGGAATTTGTCCTGTGTGCACTAGTGTCTTGGTCCACATACAGGTTAGTATGCCTTGTAGTAGCCTGTACCCTTTAGATTTGTATACATTAGCTCTGATGCCTACACAATGACAGGTCAGCCAAGGATGACCTTCTCCCATCATTAGGTGACACAAGTGTATTTCTCAACTGGCATTAAGTTTTAGGGAACACATACATACACACACACACACACACACACACACATACACACACACACAATGACACACAGGTCTTCTCATTCTCAAGGTTAATGCCGTAAGGAGCTAATGAAACACACACACACACACACACACACACACACACACACACACAATGACACACAGGTCTTCTCATTCTCAAGGTTAATGCCATAAGGAGCTACCTCGGAATCCCAGTAAAAGTACAGAAATTAGCTGTTTTACCTGTGATCATCTGTGCTTTCCATGCTGGATGGAACCTCAGGCAGTGATCTATATAAGCCTTACTGCTTAAATATCATCTGGGGACCTTGTTAAAAACAGAGATCCCCAGGCCCATTGCCTGAGATTCTAATTCAGTACATCTGAGAATCTATTAAAAATCAAAACACAGGGACTGGAGAGATGGTTCAGTGGTTAAGGGCACTGACTGCTCTTAGAGAGGACCGGGGTTTGATTCCCAGCACCCACATGGCAACTAACGACCATCTGTAACTCCAGTTCCAGGGGATCTGACAACCTCTTCTGACCTCCAAGGGCAGTGCATGGGTGTACTTGCATACATGTAGACAATACACTTATATACATAAAATAAAAATAGGCCGGGTGTGGTGGTGCATGCCTTTAATCCTTTAATCCCAGCACTTGGGAGGCAGAGGCAAGCAGATCTTTGTGAGTTCAAGGCCAGCCTGGCCTACATAGTGAGTTCAGGTCAGCTGGGACTACAGGGAGACCCTGTCTCAAAAAGACAAAAAAAAAATAAGTTGAAAATAAAAATCAAAGCACAAAGCCTCTCAGGTGGTTTGGGCAAGAAAGCCAGATTTGGACCCATTAGCGAGTCATCCTCTGACACTTCCTGGTGCCATCTGCCTGGTGCTGTTTGCCCAGTGCACTTCACTGTTGCTATGGAAACCACTGATGTACACCTCAGCCTGACTGGCTTTTTGGGTTTTATTACTTTTTTTTTTTTAAATACATAACTGTTTAAAAAACTAGATGGCATTATTTTTGGAAGAGAAGATGTGCTCTTTCTCCCTGGATATTTATATATAGGGAGAAAAAGCAAAGATTCCCACAAAAGAGATTTCCCCTTTGAAAACCAAATTCAATAGAAAGTGGAAATCCATTGCTACTTAAATCCAAACGGAAGGAATTAATGAGAATTTATTGCCTGAGGCAATTTCAGACTGTCTGGAGCTTCCTTCAGGTTTTAGCTGTGGTAAGATGCCTTGCTAGAGGAGTCTTGGGCCCATGGGCTTCCCTGGAAGTTAGGGGAGTCCAGGAGAGGATAACTAGTCCAGGTAGCATCAAGGCTCTGGAGGCCTCAGCTTAAGGTACACTTGAAGGTCAACAATGAGCCTCATACATGGGGGATGAGGAGCAAGGGGATCTGTGTTCTGTCATGCTGACGATGCGCCACATTTACTCTGAATAGGGGAAAGAGAAGTACCCTCTTCCTTCAGACTTCAGAGGCAGAGATGTGGTAGACAGGGTTTCCATAATTTTGTGTTGCAAGGTTGACCTGATCAATTTAGGACTTGGGGTCTCTTTTCTGTCAGTTTAAAGATAAGCACTTAAGAGACTTGCATGATGAGTGGAAGTTTCATGGGATCCACTGCTCTTTGTAAACCCTGATAGATCTCCTCAGGATACCAGGGCAGAATTTCCTTTCCAAAGATGCTGTCTGAGATCCATCATTCAGCCAATTTCTTTTAGAACAAGATGGTCAGGAGTCCTGTGGGTACCGCTATGTGGAGTCAGACACTTCCCCACAGTTTCGTGTGAGAAGAGCTGGCCCTTGTTTTAAATAGTCCTTCCTTTTGTTCTCTTCCCCTCTCTCCTGGCTTCTGACTACAGCACTCCCGAATTTCAGACAGAAGGTACTTTTTTTTTTTTTTTTTGGTCTTTTGAGACAGGGTCTCCCTGTAGCCCCAGCTGTCCTGGAACTCACTATGTAGACCAGGCTGGCCTTGAACTCACAGAGATCTGCCTGCCTCTGCCTCCCGAGTGCTGGGATTAAAGGCATCCACCACCATGCCCGGCAAGAAGGTACTTTTTAAACAACTCGGCTTTGTGTGCTGAACCTTCTCTGAGAAATGCTCACAACATGCTTTTCCCTAGTTTGTGGCACAGGAAATCCCTGACCCAGCTAGCTGTCAGCATGTTCCATCCCACTAACCACTCAAAGCCCGTGCAGCACCAAGATCTATATTGATCATCCTCTCTAGATCCATCCATAGCTCTATCACTTCTGTCCCCAAACCCTAGCAGCACAGTCCAGGATGCATCATCTCCTTTTACCATGAAAGCTTGCCTCCCAGCTATTGTGTCTTCCAAATTGTGATATAGCTGCTGATAGTAGTCTTCTACCCTGTCTGGATCCCAGGGAAGGGAACACTAGGGAATTGTCCTGGATTTGTTTCAAGAGATGATATCTGACTGTTATAAATAGTTCAGGTATGAGTACGGTGACAAACCACACAATGGCAAAGTCGTGTGATGTGAGAAGCTAGGAAGAAACACAAGAGGACTCTTTTGAAGGAGCTAGATGGAAAAGAAGTAATGATCCTAGATCCCTCTACTGGGGTGCCCTGGGCCACATGAGCATGGAGGCTACCCACTTGCCCACTTGGTCCCCCTACCTGTACATTTTGAGTTTAGGTGACTCTCCTAGTGAACCCTGGAAAATAGCATAGATATGTTCCCCACCTCTGCTCAGGTAAGTTAGACTTTTTTACTTTTAAAGATTAATTTTATTTTTAACTATGCTCATATCTGTGCGGGGGTATGCCTGTGGAGACCAAATGAAGGGACTGGCTCCCCTGGAGCTAGAGTTACAGACATTGTGAGCCACCCTATGTGGAACCAAACTTGAGTCAATGGCAAGAGCAGAATGTACTCTTAATGCTGAATCATCTTTCCAGCCCTGGATTAGAGCCTCTTAACCTGGGATCCACAGGGAACTTTACAGGCTCTGGGAAACTGTTGATATCACATATCATGTATGTGTGCACGTACAATTGCGTATGTATGGAAGAGAGGAAGAGAATGTTTCGAGAGCAAAATTTAACATTTTTCCATATTTTCTTTTTTTAAATTTTATTATTTTTATTTTATGTGTATGAGTGTATTGCTTGCATGTATGTGAGTGCACGCATGTTGTATAATGCCGTGGAGGTCAGCAAAGGGCTTCGGATTCCCCTGGAACTAGAGTTAAGGACGGTTCATAGCTGCCATGTGAGTGCTGGGTATCGAACCTGAGTCCTCTGCAAGAGCAGTCAGTGCTCTTAACCCCTGAGCCATCTCTCCAGCCCTCCATCATATTTTCAAAGGAACTCTCAAAAGACAAGGAGCTGCTGATTGGTCTTTATCCTGTCCTATGCAAACCACACAGGTGACAAGCAGAGGCCGCCATGGTGTCAGGGCCCAGCATGGTACTGTACCTTGGAAGCAGCCATCACAGCCGCTGTGGCTGCCACATTCAAGCCCCGCTTCCCGAAGTGCACAAGGGCATCATAACTTCTATCTTTTGCTTGAACCAGGCAATCATCAATTTCCTGTCAAAGGAGAAGCAGAGGCACACTGAGTTGGCATGTTCAAATAAATCTCTTCTCTTTTCCTTCTCCTGAGTGCTGGGCTTGACAGCTACCGATGGATCAATTCTGATTTATTCTGTTTTGAGGTTTTCCTTGTTCTGAGAAAGTGGCTGGTAGCCACAGTTCATCTCAGAGTTCAGTAAGGCAACACCACAAGGCCTCAGTCTTGCTTGAAGTTCTGCACTTCAGTGCGTTTCCTTGCTTTGAGGTGAGGCAGGAGGGGTGAGCAGCCCTCCTTGCATTCCCTGGAGGGAGGCAGCAGCGAGCCCTCTGTGACCCAGCTGACTGTGGAAGTAATTCTCAGCAGACCTTAAGAGGCACTCCCTTCCCTTCAGTGGAAATGATATTGACAGCTTCAGGGGAGATGTGGGGGAGACCTAGCATTTGGGGAAAGGGAGAGAGGAAGAGTGGGATTTGATAACTAAGTCGAGAGAGATCTATTCCTCTAACTCCACCTTCTGAGATGGGAAGGGCTATGGGCTTGGCTCCTAAAGAGATTTTCATAACTGTCTACAGCCATCCACTTACTCTGTTTCCCAAAGCCTTCCTGTACTGGAAGTCCAAAGCACTCAGCTTTCAGAAACTGCAGAAATTAATATACTAGTGGGAGCCACAGACAGGGCTCTATATTATAAGTCAACTTTCCTGCTGTGACAATAACTGACAGAAACAACTTAGGGGAAGAAGGATCTATTCTGTCTCATGGTTTGAGATAGTGCTGACCATCATGGAAGGTAAGGCATGGTGGCAGGAGCCACTCCAAGCCATGGCAGCAGGACCATGTGGCAGCTGCTTATTACATGGCATGACCAGGAAAAAGAGAGTTTGGTATTCCTGAAGCAGAGGGAGATAATAAATTTCAATTCCCGCTCTAACAGCACACATGCCCAAATGATTCCAGAGCCCCCAAAAGAGCGCCACCAGCTGGGGACCAATTATTCAAACACATGAGCCTGTGGTGGACATTTCACCTTCAAAATATGAGAAGCTTCTATTTGATTTTTATAAATTCTACTATACAATCAGTTTAGAAAATAATGTAATTAATGGATTATACAATGTTAGAATCATTTAGCCCAATAATCCTGTTTTTGGGGATTTATTCTAGATAAAAGGAACTATATGCATGGTGGTGCTAAGTGCAAAATGATCCATAACAAGAAGAAACTTGAGGTAATCTCAATATCAACCAGTAAAGAAACAATTCTAACCCTGTGAGTCATTAAAAACCATGCAGATATGGATTATGGGCAAACATTTAAGATCTCAGAATGTAGTTATTCATACAATATTATATTTACCATATATATTAAAATCACAATTTTTAACCCTTTGCTTGGAGATTCATCCCTATTTATTTATTTATTTACTTATTTATTTATTTACTTATTTAGTATGTGTGCTACAAGAAGCATGTGTGGGGTGCATGCATCGTGCACACCCATGTGGAAGCCAGAGGTCAGCACTGGGTATCTTCTACTGCTCTCTGCCTTATTTTAAAAAATTCTTTTTAATTTACTGTTATTTATTTTGTGTGTGTATTGTAGGTGTGTGGGTACATGGGCTATGACATGTGAGTGGAACTCAGAACATAACCATCAGGACTCAGTTCTCTCCACTGTGTGGGTTCTAGGGATCAAATTCAGGTCTTCAGGTTTGGTGGTGGGCATCTTTACCCAATGAACCATTTCACCAGCCTTCTACCTTACTTTTTGAGATAGTTTCTCACTGAACCCGGAGCTCACCATTTTGGTTAGGCTAGCTGGCCATTGGGCCCCTGGGCTCTGCCTGACTCTGCTCACCCTCCCCCAGTACTGGCATTATAGACACATACCATCCCTGGATTTTACATGGCTGGTGATCCGAACTCATATCCTTATGCTTGCACAGCAAACACTTTACCCACTGAGCCATCTTCCTGAATACAAATCTATATTGTTTTATTACATATATATTTATTTATTTATTTAGAAACAGGATTCAATATATCTCAGGTTGTCCTGGAAGTTTCTATGTAGCTGAAGATGACCTAGAAACTTCTAATCCTCCTATCTTCACCTCCCAAGCACTGGGATTATTGGTGTGTGCCACCACAATTATTTTTTCAATATACATATTTTATTGGATTTTTGTGCATTCCATCCAATACATCTTAGTCATATTTAGGGCCCCTTCCCCTGTCTGCACTGTCCATAGCAACCCCCCCCCTTACTGGATTTCATGCATTCTATCATATATGTTAAGACTCTGCCTGGTTTTATACAGCATTGAAGACCGAATCCAGGACTCTCTACATGCTAGGCAAGCTCTTAATCAGCTGAGCTACATCCCCACGCCTCTATGTTAAGTTTTTTGGTTTGTTTGTTTGTTTCTGAGATGGAACCTCCCTAGCTTGCCTGCATGGTCTTGAACTCCTTGACTCAGTAGACCTTCCTCTCTTAGCCTTTCAGGGAGCTCAGACTAAATAAGTGTGTCACTGTGCATAGCTTAACTTTTAAAATGGTTCTATTTAAAATGTAAACAACATATGTAGAGATCTTATTTGTAGAAGGACAGGGGCTAAGTATGCTTTTTTAAAAAGGAAGTTCAGTTTGGTTAGATAATTTTTTTTAAAAGACAGGGACCCACAGTGTAGTCTTGGCTGCCTGAGACTTACTATGAAACCATCTTGGCTGGCCTGGAGCCCATGGCAAGTCACCTGCTTCTGCCTGCTGAGTATTGGGACTGGAGGCTCCATCATACCCAATCTTTGAGGAATTAAATTTTGAATTATTTCTTTCCTTTTTTAATTTATGAAAACGCTTTATAATCAATAATGATAAATAACATCTTTATATAATTTCACCACTTTTTTTTTGAGATGGTATCTCACTTTATAGCTCAGGCTGGCTAAAGCTTGTAATCCTCCTGCCTCATCCTCTTGCACGCAGGCATTTTTTTTTTTTTTGTGACAGAGTCTCCCTGCAGCCCCAGCTGGCCTGGAACTCACCATGTGGACCGGGCTTGTCTTAAACTCACAGGCATTTGTCTGCCTCTGCTGCTTGAGTGCTGGGCTTAAAGGTGTGTGCTATCGCCTGGCCCTTCACCTTCTTTTTTGAGACTGAGTCACTCACTGAACTTGGAGCTCACTGATTTGGCTAGGCTGTCTATACAGGGAGTTCTAGGGGATCTGCCTACTCACCCCCTCCCTCCCAGGGCTGGGGGCAGTTCACTGATGGCGCCATCTCCCTAGACCCAATGCTACTGATTTTATACCTTGATTTGTTTTTTGAATCCTTCAACTTTACTGTCAGTTCTAATAGTCTTTTGGTGGAATCTTTAGATTTTTCTATATATGGAACCAGATTATGTAAACAGGGATAATATGACTTCTGCTCTTCCTGTATGTATGCCATTTATTTATTTATTCATTTATTTATTTATTTACTTACTTACTTATTCATTCATTCATTTACTTATTTGTTTATTTATTATTTATTTATCTTGCCTGACTCACTGTGGCTAGGGCTTCTGATATGATGTTGAATACAAGTAGTGCAAGTGGGTAGCTTTGACTTCCTCCAGATATAAAGGCAAAATGCAAGCTTTCCCTTGATTCAGTATGAGGTTGGTTGTGGGTTTGTTACACAGAGCTATTATATAGAGGTATGTTCCTTCTACAGGTAATTAGTTGAGAGTTTTTATCATGAAGGAACACTGGATTTTATCAAATGCTTTTTTCCTGAGATAATTACCTGGTTTTTGTCCTTCGTTTTGTTGCTGTCCTATTCATAATAATTAAGATATGGAATTAACCTAGATACCCATCAATGAATGAGAAGAGAAAATGTGGTATATACACACTAGAGAAATCACTCAGCTATAAAACAGAATGATGCCCTGTGCCTGCATGTATGTAAGTGCACTTATGACATACAATGCCCAGGGAGGCCAGAGAGGGCATTGGATACTCTGGAACTGGAGTTACAGAAGGTTGTTAGACACCATGTAGGTACTGGGAATGGAACCTGGGTCCTTTGCAAGAGCAGCCAGTGCTCTTAACCATTGAGTCATTTCTTCAGCTCCCAGAAATAATTTTTAACAGGAGACTAGAACTGCGTGTAGTGGTACATACCTGCAGCCCCAGCCATGAGAGGCTAAGAAAGAAGGATTACTGTACGCTTGAGGCCAACCTGGGCTACATAGTGAGTTCAAGGCCAGCCTAGACTACAGAGTAAGACCCTATCTTAAAAAAGAGAGATGGAAAAAAATAAAATAAAAAAAGAGAGATGGGCTGATGAGATGGTTTATCAGATAAAGGTGTTTGCTACCAAGCCTGACAACTTGGATTCAAGCCCCAGGAGTCACATGGTAGAAGGAGAGACCAAACTCCATAACGTTGTCCTCTAACCTCCATATATGTCCCCCACATAAACACACAGTAAGTAAATGT